CTAGAGTTGGGGCGGGGGGTGGGGGTAGGGGGGGGGGGGGAGTGAATAGAGATGTGGAGGGCAGACCCTGGGTTTGATGTCTTAGTTTGGGCCCTGGAAGCCAGGTGGCCCTTTACCCTCTGTCTACACTCTGACCCCAACAAACGTTTGCTGAACAATTGATGGACATCTGATTCATGTCTGTCCCTTCTGTGGAGCCTTGCACAGTGCCAGAAACATCAAACATACCCAGGAAAGATTAGGAACTTACTTGAAGACCAAGCAGGAGTGCCCTGGGTTGAGACTTCCCGAATAAGCTCTGCTCATTCTCCATTACAAAGCTGAGCTCAGCAGATGCTGTGGAAAGAAACCTTCTTGTCTGAAGCCCAGATGTCTCCATGGCTGCTCTCGCACAGGGATGGGCAAATTTGGACAAGAGTGCGGTCCCCGGGGATGGCCAGGAGCTCAGACACCTGGGAGGAGAGTTTGTGCATGTGATGGCGGGGGTGGTATTTCTATCTCTCTGCATGTGTGTTGTACTTTTCATCCGTTGTGCACCATTTCCCATCACTTATCTTTCCATGATGTTTTCTCTGTGGATTTTATAAGATGGTGGCGAGAGAGCAAGACATCAGAAGCCAAGAGAGAAAAGAGATGGGAAGTCAGAGAGTCTGAGAGAGTTTGCTAAAGATATGAATGTAGATGCACAATGAGGAGAGCAAGGGAAAGAGGGACGCACGGAGAAGGTATTGCAAGGGAAAGATCGAGACAGCATGGCATGATCATGCGGAGAGACGAGATAGCTCAAATAAATAGTTTTGAAATAAGGTGAGCTGTTGACAGGAGTAAAATGGGGCACTGGCACTTTAAAATTAATTGGATCCGAGTGATCAATTTATCAAGGGCTTTGGCAGGAGGGAGATGAGGTGTGGATAAGAGAGACAGAGAATAACAGAGACCAATGTGTGTTAAGCATAGTGAGAGATGTAATTCACCTTAACAGATTAAAGATGAAATGTTATCTAGGTGTCCCAACGATGCAGAAAATGCATTTGCTAAAATTCACCACTTATGTTTGATAAAAGGAAAAAAAAAATCTTAGGCCCTAACCGGTTTGGCTCAGTGGATAGAGCATCAGCCTGCGGACTGAAGGGTCCCAGGTTCGATTCCGGTCAAGGGCATGTACCTTGGTTGCGGGCATATCCCCAGTAGGGGGTGTGCAGGAGGCAGCTGATCGATGTTTCTCTCTCATTGATGTTTCTAACTCTCTATCCCTCTCCCTTCCTCTCTCTAAAAAAATCAATAAAATATATTTTTTTTTAAAAAGAAAAAAATCTTAGCAAACCGGAAATAGACGTAGACCTCCTTAACTTGATTTTCTATTAAAACCTACACCAGATGTCATATGTAACGGTGAATACTGAAATGCTCTTTTTAAGATGGGAACAAAGCAAGGGTGCCTGTTGTCATGGTATCTGGGATCGTACTGATGGCCTGGCTGGTGCAAGAGGACGGGAAAAAAAAATGAGCGGTTCAAAGACTGGAGAGAAAAAAAAAAAAGAAGAAAGTGGTTTTATTTACAGATTATATCACTGGAGACAATACAAACCCCAAAGGATCTGCAAATATAATTATGTACTAGATTTACAAAAACTGAGAAAGCTTCTTAGATGCTGAAGCCAATTGCATTCTATGCTACTGCAACTTACCGATTAAAAAATGTAATCGTGCCCTAGCTGGCTTGGCTCAGTGGATAGAGCATTGGCCCGTGGACTTAACAACTGGTCTGCTCATTATTAAGTATGCATGTGCGACAACTTCCTTTAAAGGTATTGGGATGATGGGTTGTCCACATGGAAAAAATATGCGATTTGACTTTATCACACTCCACACTCCCCTATCAGTCCCCAAAGAGGCCAAGAGTTGACTGTAAATAACAAAACTCTAAAACTGCTATGAGAATATCTTGATGAAGTTGGGGCAAACAAGAATTCCTTGAACAAGACACCGTGTGAGTACAGCAAAGGAAAAGATTTAACATAAATCCAGAGACGGAAAGCAGATTAGCAGTGTCCAGGGACTGGGGGAGAAGGGATGGGGAGTGGCTATTCATGGGGACAGGTCTTCCTTCTGGGGTGATGGAAATGTTTTAGTACTACATACAAGTGGTGGTTGCACAATATTGTAAATGTACTAAATACCACTGAATTGTATACTTTAAAATGGTTCCAATGGCCCTGGTCAGTGTGGCTCAGTGGTAGAGCATCGGCCTGAGCATGGAAAGGTCTCGGGTTCTATTCCCGGGCATGTATGTGGGTTGCAGGTTCGTTCCCAGGCCCAGCTGGGCCAAGGGTGAGATACAACAATGTTTCTCTCTCTCTCTCACCTCCTCTCTTCCTTCCATTCTCTCTAAAAATCAATGGAAAAAATATCCTCAGAGGGGAGGATTTAAAAAATAATAAAATCGTTAAAATGGTCAATTTCGTTGTGTGCATTTTACAGCAATAAAAAATTAAATTAAGAGCCCTAACAGGTTTGGCTCAGTGGATAGAGCGTAGGCCTGCGAACTGAAGGGTCCCAGGTTTGATTCCGGTCAAGGGCACATGCCTGGGTTGCATGCAGGAGGCAACCAATCAATGATTCTCTCTCATCACCATTGATGTTTCTGTCTCTCTCTCCCTCTCCCTTCCTCTCTGAAATCAAGGGGGAAAAAATTCTTAAAAAAATTAAATTAAGAGCTTTGTAGAAACTCCCAGTCTAGGAGGTGGAGCACAATTCCTTCTCCTTGAGTTTAGCAATTTGCTAACAAGGAACAGGGTAGGGCAAGGGAAAAAATAGCAACTTACGTTAGATAAACCTGGCAGGCAGCACTTTGCCCAGGTGATCAAAGTTAACATCACCTGTGGGCACCAGGGGCCTCTGCTTTGATGTGACAAGGAGGGAACCCCATCTCTGTGATCTTCCCCTCAAACTTTATAACCTCAGTCTAATAACGAAAAGATAACAGATAAACCCAAACTAAGGAACTTCCCACACATACCTGACCAGTACTCTTCAAAGTGTCCAGGGGATGAAAAAGAAGGAAACACAGCAAAATAAGGAAACACAAGGTGGGGACAAGAAGATAAGATGACTAAATGCAATGTAGGGTCTGGACCAGATCCTGGACTAGAGAGATGAAACACTGGTGAAATGTAAAATCTGCTATGTAGTTAATAATAAGTGCCTATGCTAATGTTTTCATCTTTACATAGATACATATAACCCCCGTGTAAGGGGGTTTATAGGCGTGTTCTATCCCTTTACAGTTCTGCAACTCTGTAACTTTGCTGTATATCTCAAATTTTCCCACAATAAAAAAATTATTTTAAAAATTAAGAGCTTCTGCCCAGCTGGTGTGGCACAGTGGTTGAGCTGTGACCCAGGAAGCAAGAGATCACTGTTTCGATTCCAGTCAGGGCACATACCTGGATTGCAGGCTCGATTCCTATTGGGGAGCGTGCAGGAGGTAGCCAATCAATGATGTTTCTCTGTCATTGATGTTTCTATCTCTCTATCCCACTCCCTTCCTCTCTCTCTCAAAATGAATAAAAACATTTAAAATATGTCTTTATTGATTTCAGAGAGGAAGGGAGGGGGAACAGAGAGGTAGAACCATCAATGATGAGAGAGTATCATTGATAAGCTGCCTCCTGCACGCCCCACACTGAGGATCGAGTCTGCAACCCGGGCATGTGCCCTGACCAGGAATCGAACCTGGTTCATAGGTCAACCCTCAACCATTGAGCCACACCAGCTGGGCAATAAAATCACTTTTTGAAAAATAAAGAGCTTCTGCCCTGGCCAGGTGGCTCAATTGGCTAGAGCATTGTCCCATACACCAAAAAAAAAAATTGCACGTTCGACTCCTGGTCAGGGCACATACCTAGGTTGGAAGTACGATCCCTGGTAGGAACACCAATGGAAGGCAATCAATCAATGTTTCTCTTTCACATAGATGTTTCTCTCTCCCTTCCCCTCTCTCTAAAAACAAAAAGAAAACATATCCTTGGATTGAGGATTTTAAAAAGTTAAGAGCTTCTGTTCAGAAAATGACACCATTAATAGAATGAAAAAAAGCCCCAAAGTCGAAGAATTTTTACAACACATGAAACCAACAAAGGATTTGTATCTAATATGTATAAAGAATTACCCCCCACCCCCCAAAATAAAATAGAAAAGGGGTCAAAATTTAAAAATGGATGAAATACTTGAACAGGCATTTATTTCACCCTAAGAAGAAACCAATATTTACATATAAAGTTCCACCTCATGAACAATCAGAGAGCAAATCAAAACCAAAAAGAAGTGCCACTTCACCCCCTCCACTCTGGCACAATTAAAAAACCTGGACAATTCAAAGTGTTAGCAAGAACGTGTAGCAACCAAATGCTTACATGGTGGTGGTTCGATGTAAACTGCTGGAGCAACATGGAAAAGCAATTGGATGTTATCTTGTGAAGCTGCGCATGTGGGTGTCCTACGATCAGCCATCCTAACCCATGTTCACCAGCCTGTGTTTCTGAGAATGGTCCTAAAATCTTTGGTTGTAATAAACCCAAAGTGAAATTTTAATGTCCACCAACTGAAGAACAGTGAGTAACCAATGGTGTACTTATTCGAATGAGTACTATATGGCAGTGAAAAATGCATGTTGCACCCACGACCTCTGGCACTGTTCTAGGCACAGGAAATACACAGTAAACAGGTTTTCGGGGGCACTGACCTACATGGAACTGCCCAGCGAGGTATGTAGGGAGGGATGGTGATCAGAGCTGTGCCAGGGACAGGGCCCAACCAGAAGAAGCTGGGGTCTGGGGTCATCCAGAAAGTAAAGGCTCAGTTTGGGCGAATCAGGGAAGGCTTCCTGGTGGAGGGTATGTTCGAACTCACCACTGATGGATGAACAGGAGTTTTCCAGTTATACAAGGGAGTGAAGACGGGATCCAGTCCGAGCGTATGCACAGATCCACGGGCTGAGTGGCTTAAAGAGAGTGAAACAGACACACAGAGGGAGACTTGGGCCGTGGCAGAGACACAGAGACTGGACAGAAAGAGGCTCTGAGGGAGACACGTGATGGAGAAAGACATGGAGACAACGATTCAGAGGAACAGAGAGACCAAGAAATAGAAAAACAGGCAGAGACAGAGACGTAGACAGAGGAATAGAGATACTCAGGGCGAATAGAGGCAGCAAACCCACAGAACGACTCCGGGAGACACGAGAACCAGGAGGGAACCTGCGTGGAGGCGGCCGCCCTCGATCACTTTGTTTGGGGAGCCCCAGCCCGGCTCAGGCCCTTTAAAGCCCCCCTCCCCCCTTCCCCTCC